CTGCAGCAAACACCTGACTCGACGCAGCTACCTGACCAGACTCAGCAACCGGAGGAGACTCAGTAGTCAGTGTGTACAGGCTCGACCCCAGCCGACGGGTAAACGTGGCCAAGTGTCGGCCCGTCCGAGCACATGTACAGTGGGTCACCCGCTGACTCGCAGGACTGAACTGGTCAACCCCCCGATCCTGTAGATCATCACCACTCACCAAGTTCGTAGAGAACGAGGGGAGGTAGAGACCTGACAGGGTGCCAGAGGGGGCTGCCGGACACGGTAAGACAGTGGAGAAGCTAGCAAGGACAGGACCCCCAGAGGGGTCCGCCAGGGAGACCGCAACCGGCCGACTAAGCGGCGTAAGCGTGGTGCGGTCTCGAAAGAAGGAGCGGGAAGCACCCGAGTCAAGGGTGAAGGTGTGTAAGGCCTGAGCCGACGTGGTACCTGAGAGAGCAGACTCACCAGCACCTGGGGCAGCAGACGCACTAGCACCTAGAGCAGCAGCCTCACCAGCACCTAGAGCAGCAGCCTCAATGCCCGGGTCAGGCGGAACACACAGGTAACAGTCACCCTCATCACTAGTAGACACAGCATACATGGCAGCAAGAATAGCATCATAGTCAAGATCAAAGATAGCAACCCCCGCCCTAGACAGCTCTCCCCAGCGAGGGATCTCAGTGGCGTCAGGGAACTGGTGACGCCAAGCGTCCGTCAGGCGGCCGAAGCAGCGCTGGGTGGAGTGCGAGCCCCCGGACTGCTCACCAGCGCGGTCGCCGGTACGGAGGACGTAGGTACAGGGACCAGTACCCCCACCTCGCTGACGCCCAGCGTACCACTCACGAAGCTGCTGGGGGGACGGGGTCTCACGAGTGCGCTGCTGCTGCTGGCGCTGACCACCACCTAAGCCGCCCCGCTGCGCAGAGCCACCCCGACTAGCTCCACCTCCTCCGCCGCCACCTCCGCCACCGCCGCCACCGCCTCCTCCTCCGCTCCCACCGCCACCGCCGCCGCCGCCTCCGCCGCCACCGCCGCCACCAAAGCCCCCACCCCCTCCACCACTCCCACCACTACCCCCACTCCCTCCGCCTCCTCCACCTCCACCTCCACCGCCCCCGCCAGCCCCTCCAGCGCCCTTGCCCCCCTTGCCCTTGCCGGTGCGGCGTCGCCCACTAGGGGCAGACGCAGCGCCGACCGACTCGGTGCCAACGAAGTCGACGGCAGCAGCAGAGGCAACAAAGGGCAAAAGGGGGGAGGGGGAGCACCCCTCAAAGACAGGGGCACGCGGGTCACCTCTAGAGGCTCCTACAGCGACTATACTCTTCTCAGCTGCCAGGAGGCGCTCCTCGAGGAGGTCAACGGTGAGTGTGGTGGGGCAAACAGAGAGGAAGTGGTCCCTGACCAAGCGAAGGGAGTCAGGGAGCCGGGTGACTATGTAGTAAAGGGTGATGTACATGGGGGGGGGGTTCTTGGCGCAGAACTCAGCAGGAAGCACAGCGCGGTAGCGGGTGTCACTAGTGCGAAGGTGCGTAACGAGGTCAGCGACAGTGGGAAAGGCGGCGAGGTCAGGAAACATGTACGGCAGTATGAGGCGGCTAAGAGCAGCAGTGGCAGGGGAAGAGTATCGTGCAACTACAGCGTCGTACAAGGTCTTAGCACTCTTGTACTGACTAAAGTGCGCACGCTCAGCGGTCGGTAAGTGGCGACGCACAGCAAGACGGGCAGCAGCATCGCGTGTGGCCCACTGTGAGCGAACAGTGCTGTCAGCATCAGCAGGCGGGGCAGGGGAGGCACCAGAGGTGAGATCGAACAGGGAGAGTCCGTCTGCCCTATCGCACTGTAGGAAAAGCTGCAGGTCATCGACCCAGACCTCGAAGTCAACAGCACGACCCTCAGCATCAAAGGTAAGGACACTGGGGGTAGCCATGACAGCAGTGGTCTAGCAGGGAGGGCTCACACCAGTCCGGGTGGGTAGGGCCGGGGCGCGCCGGGAGGAGAAGGGCTGCTACAGCGGTGGCAGCGGCTCGGCAGTGGCAGCGGCGGCTCGACGGAAGCTGCTCGGCGGCTCGGCGGCTCGGCTGCTGGGCGGCTCGGCGGCTCGGCTGCTGGGCGGCTCGGCGGCTCGTCTGCTCGGCTGCTGGGCGGCTCGGCTGCTCGGCTGTTGGGCGGCTCGGCGGTGAAGGGGCCGTGAAGGGCGGCGACGGGGCCGGCAGAGGCGGCGACGGGGCCGCGAAGGGCGGCGACGAGGCCGCTAGAGGCGGCGACGGGGCCGTGAAGAGCGGCGACGGGGCCGCTAGGGGCGGCGACTGGGCCCCGAAGGGCGGCGACGGGGCCGCTAGGGGCGGCGACGGGGCCGCGAAGAGCGGCGACGGGGCCGCTAGGGGCGGCGACGTGGCCGCGAAGGTCGACGACGGGGCCGCTAGGGGCGGCGACGGGGCCGATAGGGGCGGCGACGGGGCCGATAGGGGCGGCGACGGGGCCGATAGGGGCGGCGACGGGGCCGCGAAGGGGCCGCGAGGGGCCTAGAGGGGCGTCGACGGGGCCTAGAGGGGCGGCGACGGGGCCGCGAAAGGGCCGCGAGGGGCCTAGAGGGGCGGCGACGGGGCCTAGAGGGGCGGCGACGGGGCCGCGAAGGGGCCGCGAGGGGCCTAGAGGGGCGGCGACGGGGCCTAGAGGGGCGGCGACGGGGCCGCGAAGGGGCCGTGAGGGGCCTAGAGGGGCGGCGGCGGGGCCGCAAAGGACGGCGTCGGGGCCGCTAAGGGTGGCGCGAGGGGCCGGGAGAGGGGCCTCTAGGAGGGCGCGACGTGAGGGCGGCCTACGGAGCGCGCCTCGGGCAGAAAAAAAAGTCGAGTTCAGTGGTGGGCCCTGAGAAGCGTTCCCACGAGGGAACCTGCTCTATACCATGTGAAGAATGAGGAATGAGTGAACTAGCAAAGAGGTGGGTACAAGTAGGAAAACCTAGAAATGTTGTACCCCATATTGTCTACCCCACTACAGCCTACAGAGACTATAGCATATGAGTTTGACAACCGAGTACGAGGATATTGTGGGCCACTTGGGCCACTTGGGCCACTTCACCTCTTGGACCACTTGCAGTGGAAGATTCGCCAGCGTGGCGACAGCGAGATTTTGGGATTCACCAGCGTGGCGACAGCGAGATTGTGGGAGGGGGGATATCTCGGCTGATTCTAAGTGAAAGTACATGCGAAATTTCTTCTAGGGAGTGATTTTCGCGATATCCTCCCGTAAGGAATCGGACTCGATAACAGCTATAATAGGAATCTATAAGAAAAGGGGGGTGTTATAGAGAATCACCCCAAAAAGGGGGGTATAGTACTAACGGGGTCGGATATAACACCCACCCCGTATAAGCTACCCGGGGGTGTACAATTACGGGGGGGTGTTTTATCCGGGAGAATACGGTATTAGGACACTAGGAGTATGTGCTACAAATATATATTATATATATAACATAACCAAGTATAAATTATTAAGATTGCAAAGTAGACACTAATAGGTTTACACATGACAATAAAAGTGGGAAGTTATGACTTGTTTAAATATTTGTTGTACAAGATGAACAATTATCAAGCATAGCAATGAACCAGTACTGTTTCTAAAGATTGAAAAAAGATGGGTAATCTCAAGGTGTATCAATAGAGATACCTACGTCAATAGGGTATGGCAGAACTACGTAATGCATGCACAACTACACCATACATAAAAGATTGAGATAGCAAGATTGACAAACAAAAGATTGAATATAAATTCACGGGGTGTAAATTCAAACAATTGCTCTACCATTTCCAATTTCTCAAAGTGATGATCGGTCTTCGATTGTACCAATAGAATAAATGGATGAGAAGAGTCAAAGTACTTCGAAATGGGAAATAACCTATTAAACACAATGTGAATATCTGAAATAATAAACAACTGACTTTTCATTTTATATCATATTGTGTACTTTGTCCTCCTAAACCATGTAGTAATACAAAATATTGCAAAGAAGCGTTATCTCAGGTGATTTACAGAGAGCATTGGGTGTTTGATTTTGGGCCTTGTTTATTATTTTGTTTATTATATATAGTTACCATCTACTGATAATATTTGTTGTGAAACTATCGCTGTGTATAGTATCGAGCAGGTAAAGATTGTTTCTTCACACTTCAGCAATGCCGTTGAACATGTTCATTTCTATAGTATGACGCGGCGCAAACTCATTGGCTGGTTAATTTTCAAATGTCAGTTTGAACTTTGAGCAGATAGTGACGAGGCGGTCTGTGATTGCTTGATCGGGTCAAGTGCGATCACAGTGCGATCTGTTTTGAGCACTACAGTTTAGCAACTTCAGAACCAATCGTCTCGCGACACGCGTTGACTGAAATGAGACACATAGAACAATTCATCTCGCGACAGTCTGATACAGTGAACCCAAGCAGACTGTCGAACCTGTTCGCGCTCGAACCTCGCCGAACCAGCATTCCACACTTTCGGGAACGCAATGACCAATCGGTGAACCCTGCGTGGCAGGGGGGTTCCACATTGAACCCTAAACTACCCACCGACAAAATGACGACCCGGAAAAACAACCATATAAGTGTTAATATAGATCACTTTAACGCGAGCGCGGAAAACTGGTTATGAAAGGTGGATGGACCGCGAAAACGGTTTTGTAAAAATTGCAGCGCGATATAAAAAATTACCGAGCCCAAAGCCCGTGCCGCGGTAATTCTCTCGTAAATGTGCCACATTTGGTGTCGCGTCTTATCGCGATTCGCCAGCGCTTACTAGGCATCCTGCGCTTTGATACATTTAGTGCCAAACCATTACAGAGACATAAAGTGTACACATACTTCTCGACTTAGCTATCTTGTTGCCTAGGCCCACATTCTTATGATGTGACAGAATTCTGCAATCACTGTTTTGTTATTCTTTAGGTGATACAACAATTGCCTGTAGGTGATACATTTCCCCATACTTTCCAGCAAAGAAGCACACTTGTCATCTACCTATGACTTCCTAGGCTTTTCCATTACACAGTTCAAGTAGACATGGGTCTTGCTTTTCTTCGAATCATCCACAGGCGCAAGATCCCAGTACAGCTGCTTATACTTGAACATATTAATCACCACTGTATACTGCTTCATCTTGCTTGTAGGCGCGGTCAGCAGCTCAAACCAAATAATGCCGCCCGGCCGAAGAATCCGGTGCCATTCAAACATCAGCTCCTCCAATTCTGAAACCGAAAAGTAACGGACGCTTTGAGCAGAGTGTATTATATCGAGTGTGTTGTCGAAAAACGGTTGCCGGGCTTTAGTGGGGACGTGAAGTGGCACCAACCCCCTTAGAGCAATCGTCTCCATATAAGGCAGCCCCCCTTCTACACCTTCAATGAATTCCTTATTCATCGAAGTTGTAAGGATGGTTACGTTGTAACGGGCCATGTGAGCTGCGAAGCTCCCCGAACCTCCACCCACATCCAGGCCGATCCGAAGCGAACCCGGAGGCTTGAGCTGCCAGACCTGCGCCATAGGTATGGTGCCCAGGTACGGCGCCTGCCACCGCTTCACCTCCAAACTCATGTTGAAACAGTTCCTGCACTCCCCCTTCTCCCTTGAATTCACACACGCGTACGACTTACACTCGTGCAATCCCCACCGCACATTCTCGTCTCGCAGCATCTCCTGACTGAAAAGAGAATCCGGAGGGCCAAGGTGGGGTTCGGTGTAATGCGGTGGAGTTGCCGCGAAGCAGAGGCGGCGGGGCAGGCAGAAGCAATTCTTTTCAAACATGAGCCGTTGAGCCAGTAACCAGTCATCTGGACACGCCTGTCTGGCAGTGTAGTTCATGTACAGTTGTAACTCCTCATCCGATCCGTTACACGTCCGAAACGACATTAGTTTCTTCTCATTTGGAGACAAATCCTTCCCCGTATCTCCTCCCCCTCCCCCTCCTTCTCTGCCGGCTCCCCCAGCTCCCCCGGTTACTATCTGCATTTCCGCTTCCGTCTGCTTTTTAGCAGCATCCGCGCATTCCGAAGCTAGGTCCCGAGCCGCGCCCTCCACCATGGTCAGATTGACCAGCGGCCCGCACGTGCCATTGTGGGACAGCCGCGCAAGCTCAGCCGTCAGATTGCGCTTGTCGATCATCATTGCGTCGTACGCCGTCCGTAGATCCGCCAGCTTCCGCTGGAGCTCCGCCACCGCAGGGGAGACTGGCGGAACGGCACTGGAACCCCCTTCCGCCGATTCCCCCGCTCCCCCTGCGCCACCCGCAGGCGTTACCGACCCTCCCGCGGATGGCTCGGAAACGGAAGCGGAAGCGGAACCACCTTCCGCGGAAGGGTTACTGGAGAGTAAGGAGCGCCGTTCAAGCTTCTGCCTCTTACAGTGAGATAGCTGCTGCTCGCATATAGCCGTCGCGTCCACCCCTACATCTGCTGCTGTCTTCAGATCCGTCGCCGTTAAGTGCGCTCCGGTCGGAAGCCCTCCGCCGCTCGATAGAACCCTGATGTCCTGTCTCAGCCGTTGGATCTCCTTCTCCAGATCTTGCATCTCCGTGCTTTCCGCCTCGCGGCCCGCTACCTGCACTTTAAGTTGCTCTATAATCTCATGAGGGGCCTCCTTGCGGTTCGCGTTGGCGGGAGAAGAATTGGAGTGGTAAGCAATTGGGCGGCTGGCTGTCTCGCGGGCGAGTTCTCTAACGAAGACCAATATAACAAGGATGATGACGATGCCTAAACTGGCCTGGAGGATCTTTTTGACGTTCATGCCGAAAAATGCGGAAACGAATCGCGTAGCTTTTCGAACCTTTGCGAAGGAACTATTAGGGTTACCCAGCGAATGGCGACTATCTGCTTGCTATCCCATCGGACACTGTGCTGGGGAAGTGTAACAACTATCCCAATACTGCTGCACTATAATCTCATTAAAGAACTTCCTAATAACCGAGATACCGTGCTTTAGTTGAGAGAGGTCTAGGAAGCAATAACACCAAGAGCTGCTGGCCGGCAGAAGTGGGAGGTCTGGCCAGGAGTTCAGGAGAATTAGGAGGATAGCGACTAACAACTATGGCAGGTAATGCCTATGGGAGGGGGCAGTTGGGTCGCCCCGTAATGGAAAGAGTCTCCGTTACAACGTGAGCTTCACATCAGTAAGAAGCGCGGTTTTATATCGTTTGTCAAAAACATTTCTAATTGGAATTACCGAAGTATCTGTCACAGATGCACTTGGATGATCTTGTTCAAAACGCTCCAGCAAGCGCGACACACCATCCCCTGACACTGAACCTCGAATCGTCTCAAAAACGGACGAACGACAAGCCAAGGTCTACGAATCAAAGCACCAGACCAGACCCTTCCACCACAATCACACGCTGCCAGCCAAGCAGGTAATCAAGTATTCCAGGGAGACAGCGTTAGGAACACTCGCTGCTGACGTTTTCGGCGACTATTTCCCAAGTAGTCTCAGCGTGCCCAGATATGGCGGAATATGAGTTGGTTACGCCTCCCCCACCTACTCGATGTCGTGTAGTCATCGATCCGTCGCTCTTAACGCGTACGCAGCTTTCCCAGGGGCTCAGCCACAGCCTGATCGCGCTGCCACGTGGCATTACCACCGTCAGCCAGCTGGCAGCCCACGTGATCGACTCGTTCGGTCTGCAGGATTCGTGCATAGCGGGAGTGGCTCTACAGGTGCGATACACCGCCTTTTGTTTAATCGAGGCGCCTTAAAGCGAAGAATACGAGAGTGATTCGTCTGTTGTGCGTGCATTTAGAGCCTTTTGCTAGAGCCTATTACAGAAGAAAACGAGTTGTTCTTTACTGAATGCTTAATGTGAAGGTAAGAATAAGGAGGTATTAGCCATTTCGAAGCGAGTTTGCTTAGCAGGGGTGCCACGATACCTAACTGTCACTTGAATATTAGGTTGGTTCTCCTTTCACCAGCTCTACTGCCACGTGGATCATTCCCTACTATGCCACGCGTGTCACCCTCCTGCTGCCCCATCCTGACAGGTGGACGGATTTGTGCTGCCAGCGTGGCAGCCCCTTTCTGTGTTGGGCCACGATGACGTCATCAGGTGAGACGTTGGTAACTTCTGATGCCCTTTTCACGCTTAAACCCTGTAGCTCGGTAGAACCCTGGGCTGCCAAAAAAAGAGGGATCAGATTTTTCTTTCTTTCTGCCCCTTTTCCCCCTGTTGTCTCGCCAGGGTTTGCCAAATCGACCACAAAAAGCCACTTACACCACACACCAACTCCACTCCTCAGCACCGTAACCCACCGCTTTCGCAACACCCAGCCTATGCTTCTCCTCAGTCGCACGCCCTTCCCCGTGTGGGCGACCCTTCCCCAGGTCCCACCTCCCCGTTCCCCGCCCTGGGGTGGGTGGTACCTGGGGAGGGTAAGGAAGGGCGGAGTGAGGGGGAGATCAGTGGGAAGGGGAATAAGAGTGGTAAGAAGCGAAAGGAGGGAAGGAGGGATGAGGAGGGAGGGGGGGTTGTCTTAGAGAGGGGGGTGGAGAAGAAAAAGAAGAGAAGGGGAGTGAGGGAGAGGTTGGAAGGAAGATTGGGTGGAGAGAAAGGAGGGGGTGGGAGAGAGAGTGGGAATAATGAGAGAGATGGAGGTAATAAAATGTGTGGGGGCAAGGAGGAGGGAAGAGGCGTGATAGGGGATGGGGGAGAGGAGGCCAGGAGTGGGGAAGAAGGGAAGCTTCCGAGAAACGTGGCAGAAGATGGTGTTGGGGGAGTTGATGAGGGGGAGACGGGGGATGGGGAGGAGGAAGAGGAGGAGGCAGAGGAAGAGGAGGAGGCAGAGGAGGAAGAGGAGGAGGCAGAGGAAGAGGAGGAGGCAGAGGAGGAAGAGGAGGTGGTGGAGGGGGGAGACTCTGGGGGTGAGAAGGAAGAAGGTTCTTCTGAGTCTTCTGAGGAGGAAGAGGAGGAGTGTCCTGACTCGAGTGAGGAGGAGGAGGAGGAGGAGGAGGAGGAGGAGGAGGAGGAGGAGGAGGAGGAGGAGGAGGAGGAGGGATCAAGTGAGGAGGAAGGGGAGTGTAGTGAGGAGGAAGAAGAGGCCGGTTCGAAAGAGGGGAAGGGGAAAGGGGAGGGTAAGGGAGAGGAGAAGGAAAAAGGAGGAGGAACAAAGAAATCAGAGGTGAAGAAAGGAGGGGCGAAAAGGCATGATGGAGAAGGAGGGCGTGAGGGTGGCGCAAGGTTGAAAGACGCTGTTGCAGGGGCGGCAGGAGCACCCCATGCTGCTGCTTTGAATGTTAGAAAGGTGCGTTCAAAGGGAGTGTGCCGGGAATGTTCGGGTAGTGTCTTGGAATTGTGCCGGGAGTGTGCCGGGAGTGTGCCGGGAGTGTGCCGGGAGTGTGCTGGGAGAAACGTACTACCCTACTGACCCATGTTTCAGGGCGCCTCAGCACCACACACACAGCACACCACCGTGCGTCACCTCACCCCACCACCATGCATCACCTCCGTCTCTCCACCTACCCCTCCTCACTTCACTTCCCCAGGGCCCTTCACGCAACACGATCCGGAAGAGGGCAATTGGGAGATGGCTGGCGATGCAGCAACAGGTTGCAAAGGCAAGAAGCAAAGTGGTGCCTTTTATTCTTTGTCCCCATCCGTCCCTTCCCACCCTCTTCCGTCTCTCTTCCCCAGGGCCCTTCACGCAACACGATCCGGAAGAGGGCGAAGAGAAGATGGCTGGCGAAGCAGCGGCAGGCTGCAAAGGTATGCTTGTGCCACTCTTGAGAATTCTCAAGAGAGAAACAGACTGCAAAGGTATGCTTGTGCCACTCTTGAGAATTCTCAAGAGAGAAACAGGCTGCCAAGGTATGCTTGTGCCACTCTTGAGAATTCTCAAGAGAGAAACAGGCTGCAAAGGTATGCTTGTGCCACTCTTGAGAATTCTCAAGAGAGAAACAGGCTGCAAAGGTATGCTTGTGCCACTCTTGAGAATTCTCAAGAGAGAAACAGGCTGCAAAGGTATGCTTGTGCCACTCTTGAGAATTCTCAAGAGAGAAACAGGCTGCAAAGGTATGCTTGTGCCACTCTTGAGAATTCTCAAGAGAGAAACAGGCTGCAAAGGTATGCTTGTGCCACTTTTGAGAATTCTCAAGAGAGAAACAGGCTGCAAAGGTATGCTTGTGCCACTCTTGAGAATTCTCAAGAGTGAAACAGGCTGCAAAGGTATGCTTGTGCCACTTTTGAGAATTCTCAAGAGAGAAACAGGCTGCAAAGGTATGCTTGTGCCACTCTTGAGAATTCTCAAGAGAGAAACAGGCTGCAAAGGTATGCTTGTGCCGCTCTTGAGAATTCTCAAGAGAGAAACAGGCTGCAAAGGTATGCTTGTGCCACTCTTGAGAATTCTCAAGAGAGAAACAGGCTGCAAAGGTATGCTTGTGTCACTTTTGAGAATTCTCAAGAGAGAAACAGGCTGCAAGGTACCGAGTGTGCCGCTGTGATGGATGGCGTATATTGTTAGCACTTCTTACAGAATAAGCACTCGAGAACAAGTTGGCCAAGGTTGACTTGTGTGGGTGGGTGGGTGGGTGGGTGGCTCGGAGGGAGTGGTTTATGCGTTTTTCTCGGTCTCAAAATCGCACCGTTTTTGCTGTGCGAGAAAGTTATGGATGGAACAGCATGTAGCTGGTTCGTACGAATTGTTACTACTTAAAACTGCTCTGTACCGCACTGCACTCACCCCTTTTCCCACAGGACGCTCTGTACATGCAGCTGATGTCAGGAGGCGGCCCGGCTACAGTGACAGGCACGGGGACAGGCATGGGTGCAGCAGCAGCAGGAGCAGATGGAGCAACAGCAACAGCTGCTACCGTAGGCGCAGCAGCAGAGGCGGCGGCAGCATTGGGACCAGGGACAGGGGAGCAGCAAGGGTCCCTACCGAATTCGCTTGCAAGCATAGGCGGAATGGCGGTGGCAGAGGAGGCAGTGGCAGTGGGAGCAGGGAGAGGGGAGCAGCAAGGGGATGGGAAGGAGAGTTGGTTGGGTGGGATGCAAAAAGTTGAAGTGAAGAAAGGACATGTAAAGTTCAGGACGGGGGATGGGGAAGAAGAGGAGGAACAAGTTACAAACTTGCGGCCATTGGTGAGTCAAAGTGGAAATGGTATTTGGTATCCTGGGTTGACTGTTGAGAATCCTTGAAGGGTTTGGTTACCAATACGGTAAGAGTACAGCCTAAAACGATTTCAGGTGGGGGCGTGTGGGTGGTGCTTCAATTGAATGAAGATGGTGTGTTGTGTCAGTCAGTGACCAGTGGTGTTGTATCAAGATGGTATTAGCTGACTTCTCTCCCCACGTTCACTCCCTCCCTCCCCCAACCCATTATCAATATGGATGGGCACAGTCAAGAACAAGAGGCGGGGGCAGGCGTGGGGGCAGCAATAGCCCCCTCTCCTTCCCCCGTTCCAACTCCCTCCTCCCCATGCCTTCTGCCTTCCCCATGCCCTCTGCCTTCCCCATGCCCTCTGCCTTCCCCATGCCCTCTGCCTTCCCCATTCCCTCTGCCTTCCCCATGCCCTCTGCCTTCCCCATGCCCTCTGCCTTCCCATGCCCTCATGCCCTCTGCCTTCCCCATGCCCTCTGCCTTCCCCATGCCCTCTGCCTTCCCCATGCCCTCTGCCTTCCCCATGCCCTCTGCCTTCCCCATGCCCTCTGCCTTCCCCATGCCCTCTGCCTTCCCCATGCCCTCTGCCTTCCCCATGCCCTCTGCCTTCCCCATGCCCTCTGCCTTCCCCATGCCCTCTGCCTTCCCCATGCCCTCTGCCCTGCCCATGCCCTCTGCCTTCCCCATGCCCTCTGCCCTGCCCATGCCCTCTGCCTTTTCCATACCCTCCACCAGCCCATAATCAACATGGGCACAGTCAAGAACAAGCGGCAGGGGCAGGCGTGGGGGCAGCATCAGAAACCCCCTCTCCTTCCCTCATATCAACTCCCTCCTCCCCCCTCCGCTACATACCCTCCCCCTCCACCAGCCGGTTATCAACATGGGTACAGTCAAGAACAAGCGACGGGGGCAGGCATGGGGGCAGCAGCAGCAGCAGCAGAGTCTGGAAGGGCGGTTGTTTCGAGGGAAAGGGGGAGGACGGAGAGAGGGGGAGTTTGAGTTGACTGAAAACCAACAGCAGCCGTGTGGTCCATACAAGGGGTATAATGGGGATAGAAGGGGAGGGAGAGGGGGAGGACGGAGAGAGGGGGAGTTTGAGTCGACTGAAAACCAACAGCAGCCGTGTGGTCCATACAAGGGGTATAATGGGGATACAAGGGGAGGGAGATGGGGAGGGGGAGGGGGAGTGGGAGAAGAAGGAAGGAGTGACAACGAGAGAGCAGTGAGAGGGAGATGGGATTGGGGGACGAGTGAGAGTATGGGAGGAGGTAGGGGAAGGGGGAGGGGGGGAGGAAGAGGGAAGGACAGAGGAGGAGGGAGAGAAAGGTGGAGTGAGGGAGCGGAGAGAGGAGAGCAGTATTGGCAGCAGCAGCAGATGGAAGGGGCGAGAGAAGGGATTGTGCAGCAGGAGCAAAAGCATCACGAGCAGCATCACGAGCAGCATCAAGAGCAGCAACAGAGCCAGAATAAGCTTGAAGCACTGCCAGTATTGGAGGGCGCACCCCAGGTGAGTCGCTTTTGAGAGGCCTGTTTTTGAGTAGCAGGACCAGCAGGACCAGCAGGACCAGCAGGTCCAGCAGGACCAGCAGGAACAGCAGGACCAGCAGGAACAGCAACAGAACTACAGCTGCAACAGTGCTGGACCAAGCTCGACTTATTGCCTCAACAATTGGAGGTTGGACTTCATGTGATGTTTGCTTGAGGGGTTCCTGGAGGGTTGTTGGTGCCTGGAACAGCATTTGGGTATGATACCTGATATCTCAGGATGAGTCTGATATGATACCGCGTATCAGGGACGATTACATTGCTGAATTTATATTGAGACGACTGAAGTTTCAGGGACGGACAGTCTATTCTGAGGCCTGTGACCTGAGACTTTCGAATTAAACTGGTTGCATAACGTCAGCACTGACTCACATTTCTCCCTCTCCCTGTTTCCACCTCTTCCTCTCCTTCTCTCTCCCGGTCAGCATGATGACATACTTGCTTATCGCATCATCACTCTCTCGCCGCTCTCGTGGACACCCGAGCCTTCTTCGTTGCGGGTAGGCCTCTCTGTTTCTCTGCTGCTTTGGAATTCCCTCGAGCAAGTTCAAGTTCACCGCTCTCCCTTTTGACTGTGTGCGCTTCCGTATCTGCCATCATTTGAGGCGCCTCAGAAGTTAACCGCCTTTTGAGGCGCCTCAAAAGTTTACCATTATTGCCTTTTTGACTGCGTAAACTTCCGTACCTTGACCGCTTTTGCCTCCCCCCTCTCCCAATCAGTCCTCCACCATTTGAGGCGCCTCAAAAGTTAACAGCCTTTCGAGGCGCCTCAAAAGTTTACCATTATTGCCTTTTTGACTGCGTAAACTTCCATACCTTGACCGCTTTTGCCTCCCCCCTCTCCCAATCAGACCTCCACCATTTGAGGCGCCTCAAAAGTTAACAGCCTTTTGAGGCGCCTCAAAAGTTAACCGCCTTTTGAGGCGCCTCAAAAGTTAACCGCCTTTTGAGGCGCCTCAAAAGTTAACCGCCTTTTGAGGCGCCTCAAAAGTTAACCGCCTTTTGAGGCGCCTCAAAGGTTAACCGCCTTTTGAGGCGCCTCAAAGGTTCATCGCTCTCCTTTTTGACTGCGTGGCCTTCCGTATCTTGACCGCTTTTGCCATCCCCCCTCTCTCAATCAGACCTCCACCCCCACACCCAACCCCCACTTTTGAGGCGCCTCAAAAGGCGGTTAACTTTTGAGGCCATCCCCCCTCTCTCAATCAGACCTCCACCCCCACACCCAACCCCCACTTTTGAGGCGCCTCAAAAGTCCCAAATTCCAATCAGACCTCCACCCTCACACCCAACCCCCACCGGCTTCCCTCCCCCCCTCCCCCTCCCCCCCTCGTTTTCTCCCCTCTCCCCTTAACAGCAAGGTCGAGTGGTGAGTTTCGTCTCCTCCTCGTCTCTCATCCACCTGGCACCTGTGGGCTCTGATGCGACAGCTGGCGGTGCCTCATTGGCTGAGGCTGGTGGTGGTACAGCTGGCAATCTCCCATTGGCTGAGGGGGAGGGTTATGGAGGCGGGTTGGAGGTTGAACCTCCCTACGATGAGGCCGGTCATTTGAAGGTGAGAGTGCGAGTGTGTGTGTGCGTGTGTTAGTGAGTGTGTGCGTGTGTGTGTGTGTGCGTGTGATAGTGTGTGTGTGCGTGTGATATTGTGTGTGTGCGTGTGATAGTGTGTGTGTGAGTGTGTGTATGTGTGTGTGTATGGGCACATGTATGCATTGGCATGTCCGCATGTGTGTACTGCTGTGTGGGTGGTTTCAGTCAACACAACTTCTTCATATGAATGATTGTGCATCCCTCCTCTCCCGCCCCTATCCAGGTTGAACTCCCCTCGCTTCTAGACATTCGCCTCGTGTCTCGAGCCAACGCTTCCGATGGTGGTGCTACTGCTGCTGCTCTTGCTGCTGATGGCACTGCTGCCGCCACTACTTCTGCTGCTGCTGCTCCTGCTCCTCCTGCCCCTGCTGCTCCTGCACCACCACCGCCTCTTCCTACCGCTGCTCCTGCCACTGCCGCTGCACCCTCGCCTGCTGCTGCATGTGGAGTGGCGCCCCACAAGTGGGAGCAGTGGGCGAGTGTGGCGAGATTGCTGGAGCAGAAAAGGCGAGCGCTCATGGGTGGGACAGCAAGTGTTGATCGTGAAAGCTCTCAGAATGATATGGAGATTGACAAGCGGTCGCAGCAACATATGAAACAGCCAGGCCAGCAGCAGGAGGAGCAGGAGCAGGAGCAGCAGCAGGAGAAGCAGCAGGAGAAGCAACAGGAGCAGCAGCAGGAGCAGCAGCAGGGAGAGCAGCAGCAGCAGCAGGACGGTGTGGGTTCAATTGGGATTGCAGCAACTGAGTGTGTAAGCAACGACACTCCTCGCACCCCTGTGCCACCTGTAACCAGGTCTCCTCCGCTTGTAACCAGCCCTGCTCCAGGTGTAACTACCCCTGCTCCAGATGTAACCAGACCTGCCCTAGATGTATCCACCCCTGCTGCAGGTGTTACAGGCACAGCAGCAGCAGCAGAAGATGCACCCGGCTCTGCCCCTGTAGGAGGGGCCAAAGGTGGAGGCAGGGCAGCTCTTGAGGCGCCTCAAAGGTCAGATGCACCTAGCTCTGCCCCTGTAGGAGGGGCCAAAGGTGGAGGCAGGGCAACGGGTGTGAGTGGTAGCGGAGGCAAGACCATCAGGTACAGAGGGAGGAAGGCAGCTGGGCTGGCGGCAACTCTCGCTCTGATGAGGCAGGGAGGGGGGACGTGAGGAGGGATGGTCTAGGTCTGTCAAACCTGCTTCTGTGGTGGGGGGGAGGGGAGGTGGAGGCAGGGCAACGGGTGTGAGTGGTTGTGGGGGCAAGACGATCAGGTACGGAGGGAGGAAAGTAGCTGGGTTGGCAGCGACACTCGCTCTGATGAGGCAGGGAGGGGGCACGTGAGGAAGGATGGTCTTGGCTGAGAAGCAAGGCATGGGCACCAGGTGTGAGTGGTAGCGGGGGCAAGACTATTAAGTGCCGAGGGAGGAAGGCAGCTGGGCTGGCAGCAACTCTCGCTCTGATGAGGCAGGGAGTGGGGACGTGAGGAGGAGTATGATGACCGGTACTAGATGACTGGGAAAGGGTGGTGAAGAGAGGGTGGTTGCTTAGCATAGCAGCAATTGGTTGGTTGTTATGCATCCTCCTTGCTCCTGCCAGCGCTGCTGCTGCAGCTGCAGCTTCTGCAGTTGCTGCTGTGATTGGGGACAGGCCCCACGTTATCAGGGCAAAACATCCTGATTACCCTGAATTCAGGATGCAGTTTTGAATTTACCCTGTCATTTCAGAATAGTGTAAATTTTTACCCTGAGGTCTCAGGATGTTGTTATATGAAATGCCCTGAACATTCAGAATGGCTGTAGTGTTCTTCCCTGTAGCGTCAGGATGAATGCAGAGGCCTGCCCTGACGCGTTTTTTGTTGGGGGGGGGGGGGGGGAAGTCCCGTACCTGGGGAAATTTTCCCTGGGGATTTTTGTCTCCGTACGCAAAACGAACTTGAAATACTTATTCATCCATCCAGCCATCCAGAAGTGGCCTAGTCAGTAGAAAGATACTTTCGATAGATAAGGTCCTGGGATCGAACCCACCCCGATCTTCAATTTAACTCTGTCAACCAACCAATCTGAACCCTGAACACAGGGTTTTTTGCCCTGACAGGTCAGGATTGATTTCTGAAAAAGCCCTGAACATACAGGAAGGCTTCGAAAATTTGCCCTGACAAATCAGGGCATTTTTTACGATTCCGGAAAGGTGCCCTGAGGCCTCAGGGTGCCCCAAATCCTAGCACGGGCCCTGATATGCATGACCTTATGATAAGTCCCGGCTTGGGCTCATTCAATAATCAACGAAACCTAACACATCCTCACAAATCACACACCGGCAAACTTGTTGCAAATCCCTATACAACACTTCCAAACATGCGGATATTGAAGCTACACTATTAGGAGTTTCAAACACAATTTCCTAAGGTGGTGACTATGTTGGGCCATAACATGCCACATCATGCCATCACATGCCATAACATGCCATAACATGCCATATCATACCATCACAGGCCATAACATGCCACAACATGCCACAACATGCCATAACAGGCCATAACATACCATCACAGGCCATCATCTGGGTGGTAACCACCCTTTCTATCCATGGCATCATAAGAGACGCCACAATGAGCCATAACATGCAATCACAGGCCATCATCTGCCATCAAGGGACATGCCATGCCATGACACACAATGCCATGCCATACCATACAATCATGCCACCATGCCATTGTATCATCTCACCTGCTGATAACAGATGCAGGCGCCACGTCATCACTGCTCACTTCCTCTTCAAATGAAAACACCAGATGCCGCCCCTTAACCTCCTCCCTCACCTCCTCCAACCCCTTAATACCGCTTGTGTCAAACCCTAAAATCACCTCCCGCAAATACTCCACCCTATCCACCATTCTACCCCCTTCCCTCTCTGTTACCGCCTCTCTTGTTACACCCTTCTCTCCCTCTCCACCCCCATCCCCCCTTCTTTGAAAATCCCGTGTGATTCTTCTCCCCCCTCCTCTGCTTTCTTGCTCAAATTCTCTCAAAAAGCTAGCTCCCTGCCGGCTCTCTTCCAACCCAGTCGTTCCATCAGCCTCACTAGCTGCTAACGCACGCCTGCCTACAGACACCTGAGTCGACTCAAAAGTCAACCCCTCAGCTTCACTAGCTGCTGCAAGAACGTGCCTTCTCATAGGTAGCAGCTCCCCCGTCGTATCTGCACTGCCGCCTGAATCTGAAACCCTAAAAAAATCCTTCTCACGGCCTTCCAAACCACGATCTTCATGATCGCTACCGTTGATTCCTCTTCCCCTTCCCTTTTCCGCTTCTTGCTTCCCTTTCCTTCCCTCTTCCCCTCCCCTACCCTCTCCCCTTCCCCCTTCCCTCCCCTCTCCCCTTTCCGCTTCCGTTTCCAGCCCCCCTCCCCCATCCCATCCGCTCTGCTCTTCCGCCAAAAGCCTCCGCTTCCCCGCGACCATCCCCGACCCCCCTTCCCCTTCTCCGCTCCCCTCCCTACGGCCACCACTGCCAATCCCCGCACCATGAGTTTTAATCCCACTACCGCGGTCAGTATCCCCATGCTCATCACTATGCCCAAGGCTATGATCAAGGCTATGGCTATGGCTATTAACATCATAATGCGTCCCGCGCCGCTTGACCCGTCGCGTCGTTCGCACTTCGATCGGCCAGTCCAATTCCCCGTCCATGTCCGTCCGCCGTCTTATCCTCTTTATAGACCGCACGTCTATAGGCACGTCTTGAATGTCGTCGTCTTCCGTCACCGGATGCCATATCCGCGACCGATCCGAGTGCCCGTCCCCGATACTAGCTTTCATCCGTCTCCGTTTGGTGTTATCAACTACAGCGACATCTTGACGTGCATAATCTTCCAACTCATCCCCCCCGAGCGACAACCGGTCCCCCAAATCCCCGCCCACGGTTGCGCGCGCAGCATACCGCGACCCCCCCTCACCGCTGTTAACCCCGCCGTACTCCCTTCCACTCCTGCCGATCGTAATCTGGCTGTCGTATCCAGATTCCTTAGCTGCTGCTGCTTTCGCCGCTGCCACTTCTTTCGCCTTCTGCTTGCCAGCCATGGATTCCTCCCACCAGTCGCCCTTCTGCGCTTGCGCGCGCTGGTCGGGGTTGGAAGCTTCCTTTTGCGCTTTCTGAATGTTCCAGCGGGCCGCTTGCCACGTCAGCGCCACCGCGATCCACATCAGCGCGACGAGAATGACCAATGCGCGGTCGATGACGGTTCGCGGGGCCCGCTGCGGACCGCGCATCATCATGCGGTTGTCCTTGATTCCCATACTGACGGCGGTGATTAAATAGTGACTGGGATATGTGGATAACTACAGAAATTAGAGGGCGAGCGGTATATTGTCACGATGAGACGCGGAAAAAGGGTTACCACATTCACAATCTACTCACGACCAAACTCTGTTCGATTCGGAACCACAGCTTCGAGTCTTACGACCGAAGATCTACACGAGATACAAAACGCAAGGAAGTTGCTGATTGGCTGCTGCTCGACCGTGAAAAACGATGCAACGCACCATCGGAATCATCCGTCTCTCTTAACATCTTTGATGACGAGACAGGCTACTAGGCTCGTACGCGGTATTGGGAGATACGCAGGCTGAAGCTATGGAATAAAAAAAGAACGAATGGCAAGAGCCCGGTTCTTCCCAAGCGATCGAGAACCCTAGAATGGGGAGTACGGTAACATCTGCTAAGTTGCTACTACTGGTTGAGGTTGCAGGCGTTACTTGGAGAGCCGGCAATGATTGGGCGACAGACAGACACACCAACGGCTACAAAACGTGAGCGATGACAGGAAATGACACGCGGTTGATGCAAAGAAATAGAGCTCAGGGAGTGAAATCGTGTCTCGGGAAAGGGTAACTGTGCCTTGGGATAAATGTACCTCGAAAATGCTAGTAGTGTGGCTCAGTATTTTCTTGATGGAGGGGGAGCAGGAGAGGGAGGGAGAAGGAGGGAGAGGGAGGGAGTTTGGTGGGAGGAAGAAATGGTTGGGAAGGAAATGGTTGGTGGCAGACACCTATTAGCGCGTATGAAGTGCAACACGCAAGCACGGGGATTGTAAAGGTTGGGGCTGATAAGTTTGAAAGTGACAAAACCAAGTTCCCTCGCAAGTCAATCCCGAGTGTGCTTTCCGACGCCGGTTTCGACGCTGCTGGTTTAGAATCTTGGACTGGCTTGAAGTTAATGTAATTAAGCGGCACGCCCGTAAAGCGCCTTGAATTTATCACTGACATCATGGAACGATCTGGTAAGTCGTACGACGCACGCCATCGTGGCTCTTTGTGCCCATCGTCCGTCCGTCCTTCCGCCCTTCCCTCTGTCCATCGCCCGGATTCGTTCTTCGTTTTGTCGTGCGTCTCGTAGGAGTCGATGCGTGAGAGCGGTTGGGTAGTTCCGAAACAAGAAGCTCGTATGTGATTTGATGATCTTGCGCGTCGTTCTACCATCGTGACTCAATTTTCACAAAGCTTTGTGCCACGTTAACGAGCAATCACTCAGTACCCTTCCTTCTCTCCTCGATCGCAGCAGCGGCGTCGAAGCAACGGCAATCTTCCAAGCAACAGAAGAATCCTCAACCTGCTGAACAACAAAGCCCTCCTGCGCCAATATTTTCCGGACCGAATCTTCAGAAGAACCTCGCCGCTGTGAACCTCAGGTGCGGTACCTCGAAAGCGCACTTCAGACGTTGTATTCTTCGATATCTCTTTGAATTCTAACCCCGTTCTGACTTCGTCGTTCGTCATAGAAATAATCATACCTCCTGTTCTCTCTCCCATCACGCCCTCCCCTCTCCCCCCACCCCCCCCCCTCTCCCGCTCCCTCTCTTCCCCACTTCCCCCTCACCCCCCCCCCCCCCCCCCCTCCCCCTTTCCCCCCTGTTCTCCCCATCTTACCCTCATTCAGTCGCACATACCTTGCGATTATAGCAGGTGTAGTGGCAGGCATATTAGGTCTAACAGGAATATCAGGTTTCCTTTGCTACATATTTGTCATGGGCCTTGGGGCTGTTGGCCTGTTCATCAAGACTGGGTTCCATATAAACAAGTACTTTGACACTTGGCAACGGATAGGTGGAATGGATGGCCTCACGCAAGGTGCCATGGTGAGTCCCATTATCGTTGCAAGCTGTCCATTTGACTATGGGGCAATGCTGTCTTCCAGTTTTGGTGAAATGGGATGTACTTGTCATCCGCCACTTCCATTTTCCCTTGGTCTTCTCATCTTCCAGCTAGTAACAAACTTCATACCTTCCTTCTCCACTGCCCTCCCTATATTTTTCTTAATGATCATTAATGCGTGAACGTTCACATATGGATGATAACATGGTTTCTGCAACCTGTCAGTCATTCGTTCTCTTCTGGACGTAAGTCTTCATTGCCCATTCGTTCCGCCGTGTTCTCCTGCGCTCAGTTACCCCCTTGCAAGTTTTCTGACTTCGCAATGTTACATGTTGCAGGCTTGCCTATGATTTCGTTCATCTTTTCTGAGTGCCAACTTGATTAACTAAAGATTTTTCGAAGGGCTGTGCAGCTGGCTGGTTATATGTCCAGTTATTTAGTAACCATTAATAAAGTGTTATTTTCAAGCACAGCAGTGTCCATGTGGCGCTAAAGCAGAGGAAACAGGGTACGGTAGTACAGCTCTGCAATGCTCTCAGAGGAATGCCTCAGCATGGTAACTTCCAGCAGGAAAACACAAGTACCGTAGCTCATGTGGGCACCAAAATGTCATCAATGACCTCTGAGCCGTGAAAAACGAATAGAATGGCTGGCAGCAGCATAAGAGTCACGACCAGGATGCCGATCAGGAATAGTCTGTCAATAGTTGCTGGCTTGGTGATACCATGTGGTGTGTGGAGTAGCTTGTTCACGGCCTTTACCAGAAGCCTCAGCTTCTCCGCAGATTGACCGGCCAGTTGGAACTCACCACAAAGAGAATTATAGAGTTCAGCTGATTTATTAGGCTGGCATAATGTTGCCTCCTCAACTCTCTGAAGAAAGGAAAGCACAGTGTCCTTGGTTGTGGGACCACTGCTGGATTTGACTTCTGAACCTTCAACCACCTGATGAAGGGGAAAACCGTTATGTGCCATTCCACGTTCAGCGCTTTGAGCTGGAATTTCTCTCAAGCCTGCCTGAATGTCATTTGTTGGAGTAACTTCTTCTGGATGATTGATTCTTGATTGTGAATCCGCCAGCGAGTCTAATACAGGAACAGCAAGATGCTCGTCCGTGCCTTTCACGACCTCTGGAATGCTGTCCTTATGGTACCCTTTCTCGAAGGTGTTAATAGGTGGTGCTTCTTTCACCTGCGTCATTCACATTGCTCAGTTGACCGCAAAATGGTAACAGCGAAAACGACGCGACAGCAAGAACGAAATGATGAACAAACCTTGTCAGGGACTGGGTTGTCCCTTTCGCTTCGAGCAGCTGCAAGAATCTTTGCAACATTCACACTTTTGGGAGCTGAAAGCGTCTTGGAATTGGGCTGTTTGTTTGGCTTAGGCGGTGTCAATAAGAGCCTTCTACTCCTGTCAGGTTCAATGCCACTCCGCCGATTAGCTGGGAACAAGTCTGAGCTGACACCCATTGCAATCGAAGGTCCAGTAATTAACTGCGAATTTTGACAGGCCACCCGTTCTTGACGGGATGTCATGTGTGTTGACATAAATAGACACTAGAGCTTGGGAGAGGCGAGGATTGGTCAGGGAAAGAGTGATGCACAGCCGAAATGCAATGATAGGTCTGCTCCTGCGTTTGAAAACACCTCCTTATAATCCATTAGCCAAATGTGTACAGTTAATTTCCCTTCAAAAAAAGTTTTGTTTATTAAGATACTTCACGCACATAAAGGATTAAAACATGATTTCGTACATAATGATCATAAGATAAGGTATAGTTATTACCTCCAATTGCATTCTGCAAACTCGGATGTGATAAGATGGCGGGCGGGTCAAAAGAGTACGTCCGAATGCGGTTCAAAAAGGTCTAGGCTTGATCCAGAGAGATGATAATTTTTAAACACACGAAGTGTTTTTCAAAATTACGTATTTCGAAAGCGCAGCTGCCTGTAACGCAGATTTGGCATCGTCGAAGCGCGCTAAACGCCCTTCTCCAACTACAAAACGTGGGTTGGAGCTCATTTCCCTCCACCCACGTCTCTCATTTTCCAACGGCTCATGCAACTCTCAGTTCCTCGAGCTCATTTCTAGTTTTCCGTTCAAGCTGGCTAGAACTCGCTCTCTACCGAGAGGCGTTTCACCTTCAACTTTATTAGCTGACATTCTCAACCACAACCGCTCGACTATGGCTGCTACGCCGACACTTAACCGCGCGAACAACACCGTCGTCAACGACTCGAATATTTCCGACACCGATCGTAACGCCCGGGAAATGTCGGGCGAGCGCCGCAACAAGCGCCGGGCAGACGGCGAAACGTCCGCCCCAACAGCTGTCGACGTGCTGCTGGGCGGGCTCGAGGTCAACAAAAACGCCGAGCGGCACCAGCAGCACCCTTCGGCGCCTGTGGCGCCTGTGGCGCCTGTTGCGCCAGTGGCACCCGTGGCACCAGTGGCGAACGTGGCGCCACACGCGACTGACGCGGAGCACGCGCCTGAGGCACACGCGCCCAACAGGCAGTCGCGTCAGCGCCAGAGGCGCCGTACGGCCGCCTCGTCTGACGTGACCGTTGACCCGGACTTGACCCAGGCGTTGACCCCGGACCAAGTCAAGGCGCTCCTGTCCCTGTTACAGCATCGACCCGCCAGCGCAATTGAAGCCGAAACTACACAACCGGCGGCATCAATTTCGGCTAAAAACGAAAATTCGAAAATGGAGAAGGGAGCGAAAGGAGCATCAACACGCCGCCACAACAAGGAGGTAGCTACCAGCGTTCCCGAAGCCGCAGCCGACGACCACGACTCCGACGACTCTGACGACGACGCTGGTGAGGCTCCGATCAACGCAGCAAATGTCACATCCATGGAAAATCTCCCCCCCCTTCCTTCCACCACCCCCACCTTTTCGGCGGCAAACTTCATGAAGGCGTTCGTGCGCGCGAAGGCGGAGCCCCTGGAGGACGTGAGGGCCTACCTGAAACACGCGGAGTACAAGCTGCAGCACGACGACACGGCGGGCGGACTCGAAATGGTCATGAACGCCCTCGACTACATTTCGGAGCGTTTTGTGATGTTTCAAGTCGAGGACCACACCGACGACCGCGTGGCAAAGCGATTCAAGCTCTACCAACAGAAGAGTCTCCTGACTTCCCGCCCGTTCAAGCAGGCGGTAGCTGATGTGGCGGCTATGGATCGCGCGGAGGGCGCGTACGCTCGTTCCCACCGCGTTGGAGGGCATGGGCCGACGGCATACACCCCAAAGCGTGGACCGCCGCCCACGGGTGGCTTCCATGGCTTCCGTGGGGCGTGCTTCCGTTGTGGCCAGCCGGGTCACGTGGCAAGCGGCTGCCCGAGGAACGGGAACGGTGGCCAAGGTCCCGCACCCGTGGTGTAGGGGCGGGCCTTGAGCGGTTGCGCCTTGTGCGCGTGGCACGGTGCACGTCATGTGCAAAATCCGTGGGCAACCCAAAGGGGTTAGCGATGGCGGTTGGCCAGCCCTAGTGAGGGGTGATTGATAGGCTAGAGGCCTAGGATGCGGGGGAGGGAATTACAAACCTCTTGGCCCTTAGTATTAGCCTATGCGGTAGCGGCAAAGGCATGCTAGGAGCATGGCAATGTATGGCCCGTTTCATATAAGGGCGGACTTATCAAAGGAGCGATTTCTGATTTCTCATGAAAAAAAAAGGGAGAGAGAGTGAGAGCAAGAAGAAGACGAAGGAGAAGAAGAAGAGAGAAGGAGAGAAAGGGAGATGGAGGCAAAAAAAAAAAAAAAAAAAAAAGGGGCGAAGATATGTACCGTACGACCCCAATCAATGGCCCTTGCACTCATCGGACGGGCAGCCATTGCCTTGGGTGAGCAAGAGTGAGAACAAAAGAGAGGGTGTGTGTGTGTATGCGAGAATGAAGAGAGGCAGAGAGAGAGAGAGAGGGAGAGAGAGAGGACACGAGAGAGTTCCTTCCCTCTCCTCCTGTTGTGGCCACGTGACCACGCGGAAAGACTCACACCCACACCTTGGTTGGTGGATTGAAAAAAAAAAAAAAAAAAAAACCCGTACAATGCGGATGCTAGGGGTGACAAATGGTATTCGAATGGGTCAACAAGCACGCATTCATCACATGCACCGCCATTTCACGCACGAAGGCTGGAAATCATATCCATAGGAACCTCATTTCGCATTCCCGCTCCATTGTCATTCCGCAAACATGCAGCGGCAATACGCCAAGAGGTGTTCGACGACGACGATCCGTACGAATTCGCCGTCACAGACAAGACCGTCACGCAAATGCGCGGGCGGCTTCGCGCAACCCTCGCATGGTGGGGCTCGTGGTGCCCAAGTAGCCTCATCCTCTCGGTCATCGCCAACGGCTACTGGCTACCATGGAGCCACAACCCCCCACAACCGTTTCACGAGCGCAACCATCTCGGCGCGCACACACACGCGGCATTCACACGCACTGCCATTCGCGAACTGACAGATACCGGAGCGGCGGTAGCTACCCCAGCAGCGGAACTAACATGCATCAGCCCACTCAACGTGGTTGAGCAACGTGACAAATGCAGGCTTATTCTCGACCTCCGGAAAGTGAACGCGCAACTAATCATCCCCAAATTCAAATACGAAGGGCTAAGCCGCGTTGCCGACCTGGCACGCACAGGCGACTGGATGTTCTCCATCGACCTCAAATCCGGATACCATCACATCGACATACACCACTCATGCTGGACATTCCTCGGCTTCGAATTTGAGGGGAGCACGTACTCTTTCCGCTCATTGCCCTTCGGCCTCGCGACAGCACCATTTGTCTTCACACAACTCATCAAACAACTAGCCAGGCGCTGGCGCGAACAAGGCATCCGAGTTGTACCCTATGTGGACGACATCCTGTTTTTATGCAAGTCCAAGGCACATGCACAAGCAACGTGCCAGATGATAATCTCGGACCTCAAGATGGCGGGCCTGGTAATCAACGCGAAAAAGTCGCAGCTGTCACCGTCACAACACCTGCGATTCTTGGGCGTCGAGCTGGATACCAACTCCGGACAATTCTCCATTGGCACCGATCGACGAGCATCACTTCATGCACACATTCTCAATCTCCTGGGCGCAAGCAAAGCACGTCGACAGGTCCCAGTCCGCCACCTGGCTAGAATCACTGGCACGCTCGCGTCAATGGCTGTCGCGCTAGGTGCCACGGCGCGCGCATTCAGCCACGCCATGTTACAAGCGATCAACGACGCGCCATCCTGGGGAAGCAGTGTGAGCATTTCCCCGTCTGTGGCCGAGGAGCTGCAATTCTGGCTTGCGGAGTTCGACAGATTCAACGGCGCACCATTCCACGTCCGGAACAGTTACGACGCCGTAATCCACG